CCCCAAAACCCCAAAACCCCAAGACCTATAATTATAGATAATTTAGAGTAAATGCATTCAAAAATTAATTCATTAATTTGCGAAGGATAGAATAATAATTCCTATCATTCCAATGCCAAAACCTACAAATTATGAAACATTAGGAGTAAGATTAAGGAACAAAATCTCAAGCAAAAGCTGAAATAGCACTTGAAGTTAAATTATAGCCTGTATTGGTCCAGCTTTACCTTTTGCAAGAGCAACATTTAACATCAAAATAGCAAATATAAATAGAAATGACCCAGATAAAATAGTGAAAAAGGTTAACTAATCATATTTTGTAACATTGAAATTCTCATAAATGGCCATAACTGTTGAGATAATTCCTAGACTAAACATAGTATCAGAAGTAAATCTATAAGGACTGAAACCTTTAGTTGTGGCTATTCTCAAAAATAAAGTAGATACAGCGTGAATTATTGCCTATACTAATGCTAAAGCAATAGGTATTGCTAATTGAATAAAAGTGAAGTGACTATTAGATGAGCTGTTGGTGTTTATTTGATCAGGACTATCTCTATTTGAGATAAAAATAATCGATAATACAATGAATACGATCCCGATCCAGTTATTCCTATTCAACTATTCATTGAAATAGTATTTGAATAGTATGGCTGTTGCAAATGCAGCTACTGAAACAATAGAAAGTGTTAATGAGGGATTTATTTAAACAGCAAGAGAAAATGATATTATCATCATAAAGTTGACATATTCTGCAAATACTAGTAAAGTTCTTCCAACAATGCAGAATATCAACTCTGTGTCTAAACTACCATAAATATCTCTATATGAGTTCATGTTTCTTTGATTTTCATAATTACTAGATATCATCAAGTTTAAATAGTAAGCAATGAAAAATACTACTAAGGGGATACCTTGGACGAAGATTATTCTAAAATTAGATTCACCTCTTTGAACTATCACTTCACTCAAGAAGTTGTTAACACCCATAAAAAGACTGCTAATAAGCCCGAGAAATATGTAGAATAGTTGTGTCTTTGTAAAAGTAGTCTCGTTTTTTGGCTACTGCAATTAAATTTGACTAGAATCAGTTAATAAGAGCTGTTTTTCTTCATTATCCATTGGAATTAATCTCTCGGTAAGTTAGTGAGATAAGTTTTAGTTTTTAGTGTCTTAATTGTTTTCAAAATAATTCATTACTTCTTTTTCAAAATTATTCTTATTATCAATAATTTATTATTTGATAGCATCTCTACAAAAATTTCAGTTTATACTTAGGGGTTTTGGGGTTTTGGGG